ACATGTTTAGCACGTTCAGTTTTTGAACACATTCTTGGGGCATGTACAAAAGCAAGAGGTTGCCAATAGTAGAATGACAGCAAGAAACCTATTTTTCACATCCTTTATTTGAAGAAGCAGGGTGGCAGTCATTCCCGCTGTAATTACAGTCCTCAGGTTGTGGTAATATTTTAAGGGAGCCAATTGTCTCATCGGTTATTCATAAGCAAGATGTTGATAGGACTCTCCTTGCCAACCATAGTACTGAGAATGTTCATTTTCATGGCTGAATCTCCACCCTGAAAAGGATTTGGTGCTTGAACTCTTACCAATGGCTCTTGTAACTTGCCTTCTTAGAGTTATTCAGTCTAGTGGTTAATTAGACTGTGATCTGATGGCAAAAAAAAAAAAAGGACTGGAGAAGAATGTAGATGACATTTGTTAGATTAGGCTGTAATTTTCAGATCTTGCTTTAATATCTGTACATCTTACTGTCTTTTAAAAAATTTAAACATTCTATTTTGAGATAATTATAAATTCACATTCAATTGTAAGAAATATTACAAAAAGATCCTATATCCTTTACTCAGTTTCTCTGGTAGTAAAGTCTTCCAAAACTACAGTACGATATCATAACAAATATATTGACATTGATATTGATGTAGCCAAGCTACAGAACAGTTCCATTGTTACAAGGATCCCTCATGTTAACCTGTTACAGCCAAACCCACATCCCTGGGCTCCCTCTCTCCTCCACCACCACATTCCTAACTTCTGACCATCGTTAATCTGTTTTCCATTTCTATAATTTTGTCACATCAAGAATGCTATACAAATGCAATCATGTAGTATGTAACATTTTAGATTTGGCTGTTTTTTTTTTTTTTTTTTTTTTACTCAGTATAATTCTTACAGAGATTTACTCAAGTTGTTGCAGATATTAATAGTTAATTTCTTTTTATTGCTAAGTAGTATCCCATCATATGGAGGAAATACCACCATTTGTTTAATCATTCACCCATGTTATCAGGCTTTCAGGTTTTGGCTATTTTGAATAAAGCTATGAATATTCATATACAGATTTCTTTTTTTTTTTTTGTATGTGGGGATAAAAGTTTTCATTTCTGTGTCATAAATTCCTAAGAATGAAACTGCTGGTTGTATGTTGCTTATTTCATTTTTTAAAGAAACTACCACTGTTTTTCAGAGTGGCTGTACCATGTTACATTCCCACCAACTATGTATGAGTCATCCAATTTTTCCACCTCCTTGTCAGCATTGGGTGGTGGTGGTATTATTATTATTTCAGCCAATCTGATAGGTGTGTATGGGTAGCCCTTGTGGTTTTAATTTTCACTTCATAGGTAGTGCTGTTGAACATGTCTTCATGTGCTTCTCGACCATCTGCACACTGTCTCCGGTGAGATGTCTGTTCATGACTTTTTCACGTAGCAAAAGTTTTCATTTTGGTAAGGTCCAGTTTATCAAATTTTCCCTCTGTGGATTGTGCCTTTGGTAACAGGTCTAAGAACTCTGTCCCGACTGTGATCTCTTGCATTTTCTTTTTATCGTTTTATTTAATATTTAGGTCTATTTTTAGCCATTTTTTATTTAAGGTGAGTGTTTTAATGTTTAAGTCGACGATTTACCCCCGCCCCATGGATGTCCAATTGCCTCGGTACTGTGCATTGAAAAGCTTGCTTTTCTTCCACTGAATTGCTTTTCCACCTTTGTCTCTGTGTTTTCATATTGCTTGGTGGATTTAATAACTGCAGGATGGAAACCAATAGAATTGACTAATTATACTAATACCTCTGGGTATTTAAAAAATAACAGAATCCTCTTTCATTTAATTTACAGGGTTTTTTTTGGTTTTGTTTTTGTTTGTTTTTTTTTTTTTGGTAGTCTCTCTCTGCTGCCCAGCCTGGAGTTGAGTGGCATGATCTTGGCTCACTGCTGCCTCTGCCTCCCGGGTTCAAGCAATTCACGTACCTCAGCCTCCTGAGTAGCTGGGACTACAGGCATGTGCCACCACTCCCAGCTAATTTTTATATTTTTACTAGAGATGGGACTTTGCCATATTAGCCAGGCTGGTCTCAATCTCCTGGCCTCAAATGATCCACCCATCTCAGCCCCCCAAAGTGCTGGGATTACACGCATGAGCCACCGTGCCCAGCCATACAGTATTAACTTTTATTAAACAAAACAAAAACTAACGAACAAAACCAAAACCTATTCTTATGATCCAGAGAAAACATTGTTAACATTTTGGGTTTTTTGTTTTTGTCTTTTTCCATGCATTTTTAGTGTAGTGGAGATCATGACCTAAATGAAATTTTGTATTCTGCTTCACCCTTCCCCACAATAACATATTATGAACACTTTCCTATGTCCTTGGAAATTCCTTCTGAAACTTGTTTCAAATGAACTACCTATGTTATCCTGCAGATAGATAACTTACGTACTATAGATGTAGTATAATTTACTATATAAATATTATGTATATTATCTATATTACTATTTTTATAAAATAATTGCCTATGTTATCTTATAGATGCATAACATTTATTATAGATATATTCTATATGTATACCATAATATGTACTACATATTTACTGTATGTGTACCATTTATTATATATAGCTACTGTTACTTTATAGATAAGTAGGTATATTACATTATATATTATAGAAATATTATAATTTACTTTGTGACTCCTTATTGTTGAAATTTGAGTAATCTCTATTTTTTTATTGTAAATAATGCTGTGAACATTTTATTGTACATTCGGTGGGATCAGACACATATCTTACCCTCTTTATTTAGAGCTAAACTTCGGAGTAGAGTGGATTTCCTTTTTTCACCCTGAACAAAGCAGTTAATTTATGTTCAAGTTTCTGAGACAGAAGAGAAAAATGGAATATATAAACATTGCAGACAAGTAGTAGTTAACTTGAATTCCTCCCACATCTGCCAGGTACTGATAGAATTATAAAAGGTTTTAAAATTGACTATGGTTTGAAGGACCAAATATTTTATGTAGACTTTGTTTTGTTTCTTCTTATTAGCTCAGAGGTTCTTAAACTTTGTAGTGCATAAAAATTATGTATCGGTAAAGTATACAAAACCACATATGTATGGTAATTGGAGGTGATTTAAGGATGGAGGATAATCATGACTGAAGACAGTCCACCCATCTGCCCTTGAATATGGAATTCATTTTGTTTTGGGTTTTTTCCTAAGAATAGATTTCTATTCTTTTTTTCTTTCCTTTTCTTTTTGTTTTGAGACAGAGTCTCGCTCTGTCACCCAGGCTGGAGTGCAGTGGCGCGATCTCGGCTCACTGCAAGCTCCCCCTCCCGGGTTCACACCATTCTCCTGCCTCAGCCTCCCGAGTAGCTGGGACTACAGGTGCCACCACCACATCCGGCTAATTTTTTGTGTTTTTAGTAGAGATGGGGTTTCACCATGTTAGCCAGGATGGTCTCGATCTCCTTACGTTGTGATCGCCTGCCTCGGCCTCCCAAAGTGCTGGGATTTACAGGCGTGAGCCACCGTGCCCAGCCTGATTTCTATTCTTTTAAGGTTATTTATTGTCAAGTGACCTTTAAAGATCACCAGTCAAGTATAATAGTGCCACTCAGACATTTGCCATCAGTAAATACTACTATTAATTTATACTCATTTGCCGAGTGTGGTGGCTCACGCCTGTAATCCCAGCACTTTGGGAGGTCGAGGTGGGCGGATCAAGAGGTGAGAAGTTTGAGTCCAGCCTCACCAACATGGTGAAACCCCGTCTCTACTAAAAAAAATACAAAAATTAGCCGGGAGTGGTGGCACTTGCCTGTAATTCCAGCTACTCAGGAGTCTGACACAAGAGAATCGCTTCAACCCGTGAGGCAGACGTTGCAGTGAGCCAAGATAGCACCACCTCACTCCAGCCTGGGCGACAAAGCGAGACCAGACTCAGTCTCAAAAAAATAAAAATAAATAAATAAAAATAAAAATTCATTAATTTTTAGGTTTAAAAAAGTCTTACTTTATTTTGCTTTTTGAGAACATTGTTTTTCATATGCTCATTAGCTCTTTGCATTTTCTCTCTCTAGCATTACTAATATTTTAAAGTACTAGTGTATTTTTTACCAGTTATTTTCTTCAGGGTAGTTTTGGTTGCTAGAATCAGACCCCCATTCAAGCTAGCTTAATTAAAAGTTGCAGTGATGTTGATGGTAATGGGTTCCTTGGGATATAGATGATTTCCAAGAAACCCAGAGGAAAGGCAAGATCTCAATATTAGGAATTGAAAGATGGTGAAGAACTAAATTGTCTCTTTTACCTAGAGTAGAAATGATCTAGTTCCCTGTAGCAGGTTCCACTGCTTAACTCTCCTGCAAGTGATTCAACATGGCCAACAACTTCTGTGTAAACCTACCGGCATTGACCTTTCAATTTGGTCTGCACCTCTGGCAGTGATCTTCCAGTCTCTGGGTTGAATATCCTAAGCAAGAATTTGGTTGGTGTTAATCAGTCAATTATTAGCTAGTTAGTTTAGTGTCTGGTCCAACTCTTCACTATCCATTATTAAGAATATCACATGATAACCATAAGCTGTCAGATTCTAGGATGGGTAATGAGATCTTTAGCATAGACCAAGCCCATGATTTTCAGATTTAATTGCACTTGAAATTCTAGCATGTGCCTTGAACGCCTATTTTATTTGTACTTATTTGGGATTTTTATATCTGGGACTATTTCTGAAATATACCTAGTGATATTGCTATCAAAGCATGAAGAAATTTATCTTCAAATACTTATTTTCTTTTGATTCCAGTAATTGTCTGAATGACACATAATATGCCCATTGTGGAAATAATTTTGATTTTTAAAACTTTATTTTCCCAAAGCAACATCACATTTCTGGCTTGCAAATATTTCACAGGTGGAAACGTCAAAAAGAAAACATTTAAATGCAAATGTCAGTCAGGGGAGACGCTGAGCTCAGTCTTTGTATTTCCTTCCAGATTTATCAACGATGCTGGTTAGTATTCAAGAAAGCTTCAAGCAAAGGTCCAAAAAGACTGGAGAAATTTTCTGATGAACGTGCTGCATATTTCAGGTGTTATCATAAGGTAAGACTCAATTGCTGTAGCTTTCCAGAAATCTGTTTACAGGGAGGCAACTGGAATTATTGAGTCTGAAGACTTGCCTAAATTATTTAACAAAGGTACAAGCAATACCTTTTCCAAGGACAAAACACCCCTAAAATAACATCTGCTTGCTAATTGTTTCAAGTAATTGACTAATGTAAAGTCACTCTTCTGGTTTCCTGCTATTTGCTGTAGCTGTTCTTGTTGTTTTCCAGTCTGTGCTATGGGACTTATCATGTTCTTATACTCCCTGTACTGAAACCCTGAGAGAATGAGGACTGGATCTCTTTGTGTCTCAGACACTGCCTGATGCAGAAAGGCACTCATTCAATGCTTGGGGAATGTGGGGAGAGAAGGGAGGGGAAGCAGCAGAAAACAGGTAACTGTGGACGAAGCGGAAGTTCGACCCATTTGTTGATTTCTTTAAGTTTGATGACTAAATTTTCTTAGTAGTAGTGAGACTTCCTCACTAAAAACAGTCATTGTGTGTTAGAACTCATTAAGGTAAGTACAAGGTTTACTTACCACTTGGTTTCACAAATTAGCTAAATATTTCCCTCTACATGGCAGTATATTTCCATGGTCCTTGTTAATACGCAGCCTATGTATTTTCTTTTTTTCATGAAAACGTGTGAAAGCACATGGTTAACACTCCTCCAAGGCTCTGGTTATTTTCAGGTGGAGAAAATACTACTCTTTTGTCTGTGAAGGAACTATGCTTATTTTTATGATAGAACATTTTAATTTTGGCTTTCCATCTTGAAGATTCTTTAAGCCTCATTTGGTGAGAATTTACTGAGGCCAGGCTTCTTTGCCATTTAAAATTTTATGTGAAACCAGTCAATCTATTAGAACAGAAACTTGGCTAGGTGGGGGAAGTGAACAGTCTTTCCTTTTGTGCAAATCCACCAAAAGTAGTGACTTTTTGACATCTTATAAAGGGTCTATGTTGACACTTTGGTTTATATGATGATGAAAACAGTAGGAGAAGCTGCATTTCTTCTCAAATTAGAGAAATAAGGACTATGCTATACTTTATAGGCACATCTATATGTACATAAGGGAAGAATAAGCACAAAACAAGCTTCTGGGACAGGTAGAAAAGGGAGTCAAGGGCGGCATCTTCCATGCGTTTCATTTCCCTGTCACCCCATGAAGTAGTTCCACATTCCAAGGCTTCCACTCCCAGCCTTCCTTCTCTCCAAAGGAGAACCCACTTATACCTTTTTGAATCCAGATTTCCTCTGTCATTTATCTTTCATCTGCCAAATATGAAATGACGCTATTCAAATATATCTATTTTTTGTTCTCAGGGAAGAGCTGTTGAATTGCGAATGTATTATTGAGGCACAGTGATCCATGAAGCCAGTGATAGCATAACTCTGAACCCTGCAAATAATCTTGAGCCAAACTCTCCACTTCTATAACACTCCCAACTATTTGTATCCAGTCATTTTGAATCAGACGTATTATGGCCCAGCTATCCCTCATGTATCCAGTATTTTATCTTATAACAAGATGGCGAGCAATGCTATAAGGGTGACTTGCTTTATTTTAGCTCGATCAGCCCTTTCTTAAAAGGAGAATCAAAATACCCAGGAAGATGTTTGGCTTATCATCTAGACATACAGAGCTTTAGGTGGCCAGAAATTATCGTTACACATCAGGACTTCTCTTGAGAAACTTAGCCAGTCTGTAACTTTGCAATTCACCACGAGGCCCTGTACTGTTTGGTCATTGTGTGTGGCCATTGATCCTGTTTTTGTCTTGGTAGAGTTCCAAATATGTCTGGTTCTTCACAATCCACATATCTGATTCTTTACAATTCCATATGCCAACCTTTCTGAATGTAGAAAAACTAAGAAATAGGCTATGTTTTACTGATAGACCTATACATACCTAAGAGAAGAAAGAAGATAAATGAGGAATACGTTATAGGAACTCCTCAAATCCCATCCATCAGCAATGTTGTTGGCCGTATGCTCAAAATGCATGGAGACTCTGAACACAGCTCACAGCCTCTACTGCTACCACTGGGGTCCTAGGCAGTGGACTGCCAAATTCTTGGGCTTCTAGGGTCTGTTCGAAACACTTGTATGACACTGCAATATTCTTTGCTGCAACATTCTCAGCCAAGGTGTTATAATGGTCTACGCCAGTGGTCCCCAACCTTTCTGGCACCGGGACAGGTTTCATGGAAGACAATTTTTCCACAGACGGAGTTGGGGGTGGGATTGGTTTCGGGATGAAACTGTTCCACCTCAAATGATTAGGCATTAGATTCTCATAAGGAGCAGGCAACCTAGATCCCTAGGTTCACAATAGAGTTTACACTCCTATGAGAATCAGGAGGTGGAGCTCAGGCAGGAATGCTTGTTCACATCCTGCGGTGTAGCCTGGTCCCTAATAGGCTGTAGACCAGTACTGGTCCAGTACCCATCTGCTGCCCAGGGGTGAGGGTCCCTGGTCTATGCGATCACATGATTTGATTTCCTGCTGCCCTTTTAACCTCATCTCTGAGTCTCCTTAGTCCTACCTTCCTCTGCTCCAGGTGCCCTGGGCTCCTCTCTTTCCTTAGAAGATGCCAAGCACCTTTACACCTGCTCTTCCCTTTTCCTGGAATGTTCTCCCCCAGGTACCCACTGAGCTCACTCCCTTACTTTGTTCAGTGCATTGCTCCAATTGCTCCTCTAAAAGAGGCCATTTCTTGACTCCCTTGTTGAAAATAGAACCCACCTAGTCACTGCCTTCCACATCCCTCTTATTTCTCTTCTTAGGAGGCACCATAACATAACACACTTGCTTGGTTGTTTCCTATCGTCTTCCTCTTTCCCCCGCATAAAATAAGGTCTACAGAAACAGGGTTTTTGGGGGGATGGGAGACACGATTCACTATTAGTTCAGAATCTAACACATAGTGAACACTTTTAAAAGTATTGGCTGAAAAGCAAGAAATGTTATCAATAGAGGAAATGGAATACATACAGATGTCTCTGTGTCATACTTTTATTTAGCTTACCAGAAGAAATCTGTACTTGAGGCATCTGAAACCAGAAAAAGGAATTTTGATTTGAAGAAAATAGGGTGGGCAGTGATGGAGGCAGAAAAAACCAGGATTTGGATGTTTTAGGAGGACAGAAAAATATAAAATCAAAATGGATGAAAAAGCTCTTGCTTGAATGTGCAATGAAGAAAGGGAAGTTGAGGACAAACTTGCTCTATTTCAGACTCTACCTGCTGGCTCTGGAATTTAATATGTAAATCTTTGGGGAACTTGGTAAGCCACATTCTCTTTCATCTATAATAATCATTAACCAAAGTTCAAAGCATTAGAACGGAAGAATTATCTACATTTAGCCTCCAAGCCCTTGATGAATTCCTGTAGCTGATTCATCCTCTACTCTTTTAGATCTGATACATTTAGTATTAATCTCTCGGGGCATATAAAAAGCTGGAGTAATTCTGAGATATGCATTTTTCATCTAAAAGCTGTGTAATTTATGAATCTTGATAATAAAATACTCAGGTTATAAGTAGCACACCGTGACCAAATTTTAGAGTTTATTCTAATATAAATAAAGCAATTTCCAAAAGAAATGAGGAAATGTACATCGTGCTATTTGATGAATACGGAGGTGGTGTGGTGCATACAGACATATCCCTCCTGGAGGAAATCTGTAGCATTGATAAGAGTGCAGTACTTCTCCCATTTTATTTTTAAAGATATTATTAAGAAGAAAATGCCAGTTTTGCATATCTGACTCTTTTTAGAAGTTTCAACACAAGAAAAAGACTGTGGAATTTTAAAATTTGGTGCCCCCTCACTGAAAATGTAGCTTGAGGTACACTCCTGCAAAAACTGGAAAATAAGTATATGAATAATGCACATATAGAACAATTCATTTTTCATTTCTTTACTTCCATCATGAAGCACCCCTCAAGCACCCATAGTTGTCAGAGATGGCTGTGAATTTGATTAACTGTAATTCCAACAATATTAAGACTCCAGTTACTTTAAATATAGTTCTTGACCTTCTTGTTAAACACCAGTTCCATGTTTTCATTCAGGAAATAATGTTGCTTACACTAATGAGAAGGGGATGAAAGTTTCTGTGCATAGTTTGACTTTTTCAAGATGAGTAACACTCGAGATGAAATAGAGTGGAAAGAAGACTATCGACCGCTTTTGAGACCAAGGCAAATGGTGTGGCGGGAAGTATGCCGGTCCTGGATTTAGGAAGTCTGAGTTCCAATCCCAGCTTTGCCACCGTGTATGTTTGACAAGTCACCCTCTTTCTGTGTAAAGGTGGCCTCCGAGGCAAGTTACACATTCACTTCCTCATCATCACACATGGCTGAGTCTGCAGGGATTCAGTTCACCTTGGACCAGAAGAACAAGTCCAGCAAATCCTTTGTTTAGTGTTTCCCAAAATGTGTATGACAGAGTGTGTCAAAAGAACCTTTCATGATTAAAGATTGTGTGGTCAAAGAAATTGGGAAATGCAACATTTATGGCCCCATCTTTGAGATTCATAGCCCACTGCAGCCCCTCACAGGCTCTGAAAAGTCCTGCAGTTAAGAAATTGGAGGGACTTTGAGTCAGCATTTCCATGGAACTATTTTTTTTTTTTAAATTACATATTCCAGGGAACAAATAAATTTAATTCTAGGGAACACAGTCTGGGATATGCTGCTTTCATGTGTTACTTATTGTTGTTTCAACAGTAAACAACTAGGGACGATCGTTTCTACTTTATCAAAGTCAGGGTTAATGTGTGTATTAAATGAATGTGAATGTATTTGAAAAGGGAACAACTCTCTAATGTAGGGATTAATTGCCATTATTATTTTTATTCTGCCAAACACCTTTAGTCTTATTTGTTCTGTCATTCTATCCTTTATATAATGACTAGGTCACTTGTATCTCCTAAGCTCAATGTCCGACCTTATTCTTGGTTTCTGCAAAAATAGGATTCTAGGTT